ACAAAAATCACTAGTTTTGAAACATGTGACGCCGAACAAATCACTAGTTACGTTACGTTTCTCGAAAATGACGTAACGACTCACGCCTACTTCTTTCACTTTTCTTTACTCCATAGATAATAACAGAACAGAATACACTACATTTGTAAAGAGATGAATGCACTTTGCAAAATTGCAAGGATACGATCGGATACACATTTTAAATGTGTCTCATAACTCTTTGTCTAGGCTTTGCACTTTGTTGTGACTATTTTAAATTGTTTAAATGCTTAAAAGCACATTATCAGCTGCATTTCTATACGAAAATTTAAAACGAAATGTTATTAGGTTAATTCGTTGCTAAACTTTTACATTACAAGTACTAAAACATTTCTACACTACACAGTAAAGTTTTTTTCCGCATGTTAGAAACATGCGGAAAAAAACTTTTACTGGGATGAATCTGAAGTATTCATTAAATAGTTTTACAAGAAGCTATTTTACGCCTAATTTTTTTGCATAATTATTTTATACTTTGTGTCCACTTCTGTAATACTTTTTATTTCATCTGTGCAATATTCGTCATCTGTTATCCCCTTATTTTGCATTTCAGAATTGTCTTTTGTCTTGTCAAGAATTGTATTGTTACCGGTAAATCTTTTCATCAGTGAAAAACCTTAAATCCTATTAACTAAAACAGAATTGCGATAATCATAAGAAAGTAGTGTTGAATTTTTACTATTAAGTGTTAAAATGGCGAATGATCCTGAAAGGTTTGATTCGATGCTTCTTGCAATGGCACAGCAACATGAAGGTGGTGTGAAAGACGTAAGTTTTATATGTTATGGGTTTAATTTCTGTATTTTAACTACGGTATAATCAGATTATTAGCTGCTTTTTAAAATTTCAGCATTTTTATACTTTGTCACACATGTCGTTACCATAGTATCTACCGAACTTTCTAGCATGTTCCTTAGTGCGCAGGTTACAAACAAAACTTGTCAATAAAAAAAATAGCTTTACAATCAAGTCCCTAGTCATGACTGGTAAAATCTAAATTTCCACTTACAAATGTTAAAGCCACGCAAAAATGTTTATAACCTCAATTTATAATCTGCAAAACCGTTGTTTGTCTTATTGCTTCTGTATTTTGGTTATTTTCATAAATAACCAAACATGACATGTCATCAGTCTAATAGCCATTGTAATTATTCACCTATAAATTCATGTTTTTCAGCTTTTAGCCACAATTGTTGGATTTTTAACAAGAAAAACAGACTTCTTTACTGGTGGAAAACAAGGAGAATGGGAAAAGGTATTGTTTCAATTGTCAATTACTTAATTTCAATTAATGTGTAAGATGTAATGTAGTTTATGTAAGAAATATCTAAAAATTAATAATACCATTAAAATAGACATTTTTAATGTATGAGCTCCCGATGCATTGGCACAGTTGCCTGTGTCATGTTGTCTGGCTAAATAAAGTGATACAGTAGTGTGAAAAAACGTGTGTCCTAGATACATTGAACTTGTAAAAACCATGATAGTTTAACTTATTTCATACTTTTTGATTTTTCCTGAAAAGTCAACTCAGGTGAGCACGCTGTGGCAAGTGGTGGCATTAAGTATTTCATGTAAATAATGATTTTTATCTTAAGGAGAGCATTTTTTAATTTTTTTTATAATTCATCTTTTAACCAACAATTAAAAAGTTGCTATAAAACCAAATTCAAAGAAGAAATTCCTTGTTTCTTTTTGTTCAATATTTATTTAACATTTCCAGGTGGTAAAGGATGTTTTCTATGAACAAGCGAAAAAAGCACAAGATGAAGCAGATAAGGCAAAGAAAGAAAGAGAGGATGCTGAAAAAAGGCTGAAAGATATTCAACAGAGGAAAGAACAAGAAAGACTGGCTCGAGATTTTGAACCTGCTACAGTCACTGAAGTCACCGATAAGGAGGCTGAAGAAATCCAAGAAGATATAGAAAAAGATAAAAAAAGCAGTAAGTTATTATAAACATTGAATAGTTCCCTGTGTATAGTTGTCAAAAACAAAACTAAAATTACATCCATTACACACCTTTGACTATCTATTCCACAACTGTTTAGTCACACTTTTATTCCTATAAGCTTTTTTTTTTATGACATAAGGTGGCAAACGAGCAAGCGGCCACCTCAATCCGCCAAAATGACGAAGCGACCGCTGCTCATAGATATCCGCAATTGCAGATGCATTGCCTACCCTTATCCGACGGAGGAAGAGACGCACATAGAAAGGATATTTCGCCTTCCTATGCATATCCTCCACCGTCAAATCCACTTCCTCTTCCTATCCTCTTCTTGTGAGAAAAGGGTGGTAAAGAGAAAGGGACTAAAATTAGGCCTCCAGCTTATATGGAAGTTTACACTACTCAATTTTTTGTTGTGCAACTGAACAGTTCAATTGGCTGCAAAACATTCGACAATCGCACAAGATACAAAAATCTGTTATATATTTGTAGAGACTGACTCTGGAGATGGAGAAGGCTCCAGCAATGATGTGCAGCCTGACAATGCATCCGAAGAGGAAGATGATCCTAAAGAAAAAGGGAAACTCAAGCCCAATGCTGGAAATGGGTGTGACCTTGAGAATTATAGATGGACACAGACATTAGAGGAAGTTGAAGTAAGTCATTATTGATTTTAAATAATCTTACTAATATTATAAATGCGAAAGTTTAGATGGATGGATGTTTGTTAGTGTTTGTAGCCTAAACAGTTGAACGGATCTCAATGAAATTTGGCATAGACATATAGGGCAGTCTGGAAGAACACGTATACTACTCACTTTTTTTTACTTCCACGCGAAAGGAGTCGCGGTCTAAAGCTAGTGTTCTATAAGACTTATTTACCACGTTGTCTCTACGGAATAAAAAATCTAGGAATAAAAGGTACATTTATCAGTGATATTGTAGCTTTTTGATAATAAAAGAATTTATATTATTGATCCAGTAGTGTTTGAGTTTAATTGTTACATACAAGAATACAAAGCTTTATTAATACTAGTGTAGATTTAGAATGTCTGATTCAATTTGATTTAAATCAGGAATTAATGAGAATTCTTTTAAAACTTTAACTTTTTTAAAATAGTTTTTTGATTTATAGTTTTCTAACAATAATAATACATAGGGTGTTAAAAAAAAACAGAAAAATTTACAGTTTTTTATTAATATTGCATTTGAAAGACAATACACAGGTTAATATGCTTGGTTATCACAGGCCTTCCAAAATTAGACTACCTAATATTTACAATTTAACTGCTGTTAATATAGAAAAGTATATTGATACAAACATCATTTTGACAATACTTTTTCACTATTGTAGGTAATAATTAAGGATTTACTTTTGCATATTGTGTAGGGCAAAATCCAAGTTCAGCAAAAGACTATAAAGGGTTGGAACATATATTAAAAACAATGAACAACCAGACCTTCAATTATCTAATTGTTATTACTTGTAATCTATTGAATAATAAATAAAAAGTCCTACAACTAATATATTACACATTATTGTGTTAACCAAATGTTTAATTTACAATTTATATCCATACTAGAAACCTTAGACATCACAGATGCGTATATATCTCGCATATACCACAGAGTGCTTAGTATAATATCTCATAGTCAAACAAGGAAATTAAATACTATTACTAGGCACCCTGTATACTAATTACTTACATTTACTGAATTTTATTCCAGAATATTGTGGGTTATGTTAAAAACTTATAAGGTTTCTCTATTTGACATTGTTAGGGTGATGTCACATTCAACAAAAACACACATTAGAAAAGCAATTTAATTGAACAGGCCTTATCAGCCTTCAATGTGACCTCTTTTTGTCAATTGTCATATACTGAGAATATTAGCTGGAATATAGTCTTACAATCTTAAGTATATTGTTGCTATACATGATAGGATTGATAAAGATTTTTTTATTATAAAAGTTGTACAATTTTGAGCACTGAAATAAATAAATTATTTAATACGCTAAATTATTCTAAATTAAACTGGATAATTATTGCACTTAGTCATTAACAATAGGCTAATTGTTCTTACAAATAATGTCTGTTGAGATTTTACTAAGCGGGCACAATAATACGCGTGGAAAACAACGCATGCCCACTAAGGCCCCGTGAACAACCATGGCTCTACCGGGAACGGCAAACTTGTACTATGTTCTTAAATCTCTTTAGATTCTTCATGACGTACATACTTATCGCTGAGACGTCATAATATGAATAGATTTATTTGTTTTAGATACAACAATTGTTTATCTTTTGAACTAATACTTTACTGGATTTTATTTATTTAAATTAGCAATTTTCCAGTCCTGATTATTTGCTATTAAAGGAAACGTGTTCCACAACGCAATGAATACCTTAGAAATTAAGAATACTTATAGATGCCCGTCTCCTTGCGCATTCTCACTGAAACATAAAAAAATCTGTTAGAAATTTCTAGCACAAAGTCAATGAGACACGAGAATTTTTTTAACCAACAAATTTTTACAGTTTTTATAAAATTCATGCTTACTTTCAACGAAGCAAATTGCTGCTAGTATGCAAGCTGAGAGTAGTATAGTCATGGATATGACCAGTACAGTTATCTGGTGGGAGTGATTACAGCAACAAGTTTTAGGTTCTTTTTCGGTGCGTTGCTTCGTGAACCCATTCACCACAGTGAAATGGGTGGAGCTGGCCACCGAAGCGGCGTCGTGCCCCGATACGGAACCTCGTTTGACGTCATTCCAGAACTTGTCAGCCACCTCGCGAGATTCTTCTGGAATTGACATAACGGTGCTCGTCATAGTCGGCTTACGACCGTAGCCTATCGGTTTTGGGTATACGGTGTATTCGGTTTCTACTGGACCTTTGTTCATTCTTGCCAAGTTAGCAGCGCTTAGCAATAGTGAACCTGATGATGCACTCTGAAATAAACAATTATAATGTTAATTATTCTTTCACCCAGTTTATATACAATTTACAACTAATATTATACAGAGGAAAGTTTTGCATTTGTGTATGTATTGAAATTACTTAAAAGTACTAGACCATATAAAAAATCTTTCATTAAAAGGCTACGTTATTAGTGAGTAACATAAGCTATAAAATATATTAATCTTGAAATTTCAATTTACAAGTGCCATTTTATATTTTACATGTACATATTTTTTGTATAAAACATGTATTCGTAATAAAATTTTATAACATAATTTAATAAAGCAAAAGAGTAAATTAAAAAAAACTCATCTTTAATTTATTTAATGTCTATTTTAGTACTTGAATGTTGATTAAGTTTGAATATCAAAATAAAATCGGTAAACATTAAAATTGGTAGATGTTTGTTTCCTTATGACTAAGATTAAAATTTGCGGATCATGTGGTCGGACGGCGCCGCTTAATTTAATTTATTCATCATAGCTTAAGAATGTTGCCATAAAAGTTATTTTGCAGTTGTGTACCGGATCTGTTATTTTGAATAAGGCTTTTAACCCCATCAAATAAATAACAATAAGCACAGCTTGACAAAAACTCACTTTATATTTGAAAACTTGTGACGGCTAATAATGATACTTTTTGTTCTAACATTCAAACATTTTGACATGAAAAATGCTTTTTTTGTCTGTGGGCGTGCAGGTTTCGATGGCTTGTGGATAAAAAAATCTGTGCGGTGGATAAGTCTATTTTTTGTATCCATATATCCATTTAATAAATAAATCTTATCTATTTTTGCTTTGATGTTTTTATGTGTAATTTCATGTAGTATATCAGATGCAAATCTTCTTTCTTTGTTTCGGTAAATGAGTGTATATTTAATGTTAGACGGGTATTCTTATATACCAAAAACATAGCAACTTTACTAAAATTGAAACCTATGTCCCGAACTCCGAAAGTTTTGTTGTTGTTCAACACTAAACAAGTACGAATGTGTGCTTACATGCGTGCTATGATTACTGGAAGAGCCCTGACTTGATGCCGATCCTCCTCGCGACCTCGCGTCCACACTGCCCGTGCTACATGTGGATAACGACGGCCGCGGGATGTGCCACTCCTGACCAGGCATCTGGAATTAAAAACAAAGTTATTACGTTAGAAGGTGATGTAACCTCGTCTGTACTGCATTTGTTAAAGTGGAATTCGTGGTGTTTTGTGCGTTATTATTATCATTGATACTTCCTTTTATAATTTCTACAATATTTCTTTCTTGTCATCTATCCTCATTTTGGTTTCCTTGTATTTTGGAGTAGTATGTCTCAGTAGTTGGTGTATTCAAATGATCCATTAGCTTGTCAACATCTTGATGAACCATAACATATTTTAAGTTGATATAATCCAGAGATTACTCATTTTTAGAAGATTAATTACTATGTCGTAAGAGAATTAGCTCATCTGTTAAATAACCGTTTAAAAACAGGTTGAATAAATGTTGCTATTACATAACAGTATTGTACTAAAACACGCTGGGAGTATGAGTACGGAAGTAGTTGAAGATTGCGATGTCGTAAGGTTGTTTATTTGATGCCGTGTTCAAGATACCGTCACTACGTACCTTTTAAGCATGAAATTCTTGCAAATTTAGTAATTTCTTTTGAGGTAAGACATGTTTTATGGAAATATTATGAAGTGCTGATAGAAATATTCCAAATAAATAATGTTATGTTAGTAATCTTTACTGATAATAATTAGTCTTAAATAACAATAAAAAGTCAAATTAACGCATTCATACAGAATTATAAAAAAGCACGTATCGCATATCGCATTTGTGCATGTCTCTTGGAAACAAAATACGAAAAGGTCCGTCTCAATGATCATGTTACAAAAAACAACATTAGCTTTCAAGGTCAAACGTTCGAACATTACTCTTCAGCGGCAAAAATAAACATTGCTTTGGTTCTCATTGGCAAGGCCCAGAGAGGGAATAAATGAAGGACATTTTTCGATTTTTGTTTTTGGATGAACCAGTAATTTTGTGGTGTGATTCGTTGTTTCATCAATAATAATTTTAGGTCAAGTTTTGTCCGAAGTCCGATTGATTTTGTCAGATACGGTGCTCAAGGTCTGCCTTCTCTTTATTTGCGGTCTCGTTTCGTCGGCCTCTGGCGCAATAAATCTTAGTTTTGCTCTCGGCCCCGTAGTTCTCTTTGTTACATTGATAAGATGATCGATAGGCGTATTCGGTAGTCGGTAACAATAATCCTTTTCTTTTACGGCGCCTAAGGTCGGCTTATTTTATATTCGAGATTGTTTCGGTACTATGTTTGGTGAGATGTAACAACGCCTTATAATATTCGTGTATTATTTGTACTAATACAGGCATGGTGGGCGAACCTTGCAAAATGTTTCGCAAACGTGCCAACCGGTCCCGATGTCAGAGTTGCTAAGGCAACAGAACAGAGGCCTGACTTTACAAGTACATTCTATGTATAACCACTTTCGCTCATTGTGCATATAGACCGTACCATTGAGATAATGCCCGCCGTTTAAAGTAGACCATGGATAAACCCCCGTGTAAATATGCCGAGTTATTGTTTAACTTAGTGCAAATGTCGAAATGTCAGCACCGTTTAGCATAACTATTGCTAACTATTTACTAAGCAACGACACTAGGCTAATGTTTTTTTCTTGTATTATCACGTATTGCGGCAGCAGTGACAAAATTTACATCGTTTAACAATGTAAGAACTTGTGGGAATAAATTCACAAAACCGATAACAAATTCATTGTTTTGTTCTTTTTGTTTGGTAATTATTGATCCTAGTAGGTTTAACCACTTTTAATATCTAAATTTATTGTGCTTATGTAATATAGCATTTATATTTACACGGAGCCAAAACCTCTATAGCAATTGCATTAACTATTAATGCATGGCTAATATCACTTGATTATGATTCCACTGAAAATCTTTTCAAAATAATGCAATAAAATATTTACATAAGTTTGCAAAATAATGTTGGACTACATTAATAATTAGTAATATTGAAAAAACACTCAAAACTAACTACACACACTCACACATATACTTCAAACACGCACACACGCACTTACTCACGCACTTACTCGAATTCATACACACACATACACACATGCAATATCACACACTAAATTAACTGTAATATATATTATAATATTATATTTTCCTTTGTTATGTAGCAACTTACTCTTAACTAAATATGATAATTGATATGAGAAGGTCCTGTCTCCTGAAACACAGTTGTTATAATTAGTTCAGGAGACAGAGCCTCATTTGATTCTGTAAAAATGTTTTTTGTTTAATAAAGAGTTTTTTTTTTTTATTAATAGTTTGTGGTCGAATATATCATCAATACCTAAGATTGTTTGAATTATATTCACTACAGTTATTGTAGGCTTACATAACGTCAACGCTCTTTCCATTTGGAAACAAATTACAATGTTCATAAGCTAAAGAAGGCCGATAAACAAACCAAATAGAAAAAACACTTTAAAAAACGCTTCGTTCGCGTTAACGTGCACAATAATCATTTAATTAAAACGTGAGGGTAGTTTAATATGAGAAAAACGTGAGTGAATAAGGATTTACACTGCATCAGTTGACGTATTAATTGCTATCAGCACATGGAAGTAGCACGTCCGGAAACTTCTTGATGTGTATATAAACTGCACAGTTTAGGGTTGACACTACCGATAACTTTGACTGTTATAACGCTATCTAGCCGATACTAGTATATTTTAGTATTTATATTAGTATTTTGACTTTCACACACTCAAGATGCAAATTTGTATTTTTAAATTTACAGTAAATAACGTCCAAAAACAAATCGTAGTACGAAGCTGAATAATTTTTAATTTCAGTAGAATCTGATGCGAATTGACAGCCCTAAATAAAATGTTTAGGTATCTATAAATCTTAAGTACCTACACCGACACACGTGGTTATTGCGTTACTTAGTTATCTAAATTTATAATTACAGTGCATAATTACTTATCTTGAATCGCTATTTAGCATAAATTTAAATATTTAATAAATTATTACCTCATTTAATAGACTGTTAATTTTGTTCTATAAAGTTTTAAAGCTAGACAGAACTGTAATTTTAGTTTATTTACCTATGTGCGATTAAATGTAATTACTTAAGGGAATGATTATTTTATTTCTAAGAAAAACAATCTTAATCCAAAATTAAAAAATAATGTAACAAATGTTTTTCTAGATTATATGGAGTTGTAGTAAAACGTGAACGTGTCATCTCGGCGCACGATTCTCGTGCCCCAGCGACAAAGTCGTGGCGTAGAAATGTCTAGAAGTTGTACTAGACGGTTACTGAAGCGGAATATACTATCAGGTTGAATATCATTATATTCTAAACAATTGTTTGCCAGGGGCAATAAATACGTCACCCGCTAGTTTGGCCCATTATTAAGAATTCTGATCAAACTATTTCTGATCAAACTGCTGTTATTAGCCAGTATTTATGTATTAGGTATGAAGTACCATGTTATATTCCGTAAAGTTTATAAATATTTGAACTGTTTTTACAATTTTAGTTAAAAATAACTTGAAGTATTGTAATCAAAATATGACGAACAAAATTCGGCGTGTCTGGCATTGTAGAATAAAATAGTAAATCGTAAACAACTTGATTAACATTCAAACGTTCATTTTCATAACTTCATTGTCAAATTGTTTGTATCTTGTTCCGTTATTTGAATCTTAGGTCAACCGGGTAATTAAGAAATCTTTAATTCAACTATTGAAAATGAATCTACAATATTTCTCTAATTCAACTGCAATGATTTTGGGGATATCGAACGTATTGAAAACGTAAATACTTTTTTCTAATCTGTTACTAATAGCTGATTTTGTCCATTACGGTATCTATTACTAGAAACCCGATTGACTTGATATTCGATAAAATTACATTCTTTTCCGATGTAGACATCCGCTAAAAACGGATTCTACCGCCGATAAATATGTAAATTATGCTATCATGGAAATTTATGACATTAGTTGCTACGGAAACCGTCGGGTATTCATACGTATTTCATTCTATATGTAATTATATAATTCTTAAAAACCTAAAAGTTGCTGCTCCAAATAAATATTTATAGTCAAGTGTTCACTTGACTCGTTTTACAAGAGGCGAGAAGTGGAAAATGTAAATATGATCTCTATCTGATTTCCAAAGTACAAGCAAGGTTCCCGACATATCGAGATATTGTGTGACATGTTATTGTATCGATTACGAATCGAATTAACGGCAACGATCCGGTTATAGTTGCAATAGCTAGTGTCGATTGGGCCGGTATAACGCGGCTCTGTTACGCAATACCGCTGGGTAATCTTGACGGATCTAATTGAATGTTTATTGCCGCGTGTCAATAACGGTGTGATCGCGGAACACGTTAGACCGCCGACTTGTCCACGACAACCGCACTCACATAATCGATGTAGCGTGCTTGCAGTATGCGTATTTTATGCAATTCTACTTACGCCTGAAGATCTTATGTAATTCAGCTACGAGAATATTGCACCAATGAATTGAACTTATCAAAATTTGAAGTCAAATAATCGACATTGAGATAACGTGGCTGAAGTCTCAACTCTAAATTAGGGTAGCCTCGATTACCCTCGGTGCGGCGGGGACTATGAGCTGACAGGTTTCTGAGTATTTAGTCTAGTAGAAATTGCTAACATCAAAGCATTTTTTTTTTAACATTATCGAATAATTATTGTTTTGTATATTTAAATAAATCACGGACATAAAAGAGGAATTATTATGGATTTTTTGTGTAATATCTGTAGTACTTAGTCATGTGAGATGTTCATATAAATGTCTAGAACTAGAATGTCAGATATTTAGACTATGTCTAGAGGTAAAAACAATAAGAACAACATAGGCTAACATCACGAACACCTAGTCTGTTCCCCTTCGGAAGAGAAAGCGTGCCTGATGCATGCCCCTTCTTGGAATACTTTCGGCACTGTGCAAATGTCACAATGGCTAACGGATAGCTGTCGACTGTTTCAATACTTTTCATTTCTTCGGTGCGAATGAACTGGATTTAATGCAAATCACTTAAACG